TTCTATTTTTTCTGCTTGTATCCTAACAATTTATCTATTGCAAAATTGTGCATTCATTTCAGCGAGGGAGACTGTCCAACAATTTCTCAACGCCTCTCGTATAGGAAACATTGATCTTTTGAAGAGTAAGTTCTTTTGTTTGTTTAGCTGAGTTCTTAAATTTACATTGTCAGCTTGAATTTTAGTACGACTTCTTATGGAATGCTTCGTTATGTTCGAGTAGAGTTGGCCACCAGGCTTGATGAAGGGAAGGGATTGTCGAGGACGGTGGCTGATATTAAGGATGCTAATAAGCGAGGAGCACTTCATTTTGCGGCAAGAGAGGGAAAGACTGAGGTCTGCAAGTATCTGCTCGAAGAATTAAAGCTCGAAGTAGATACGAAAGATGAAGATGGCAAGTTACTTATTCGTTATTTATTTATTTATTGGGAGAATTTGGATGAAATAGATAAAGGGAATTTTAAGTTAGATGCTAGAGTCGGTAATTGTGAACAATAAATCATCTTTGACTTTTTTTTTTCTGTGTTTTTTCCCCTTATTGCCTGTAAAGTTCAATTGTTTTGGAATTCCGTTAGCTTTTGTATAAGTACTAATCAAAGGAAAACTGAAAATGAATTTGATATTCCCTTCTGTGCGTATTGTATTGTAGTTGAAGCATGAGGGCATGCTAGTAAATACAATTAAAATTATAACAATTATTCGATTATTCGATTTACAGTTGAAAATTATGAGAGTGATGCACTGGGTACTGGAAGACAGTCAATATAAAGAGCACTATATATTTGACCCATTCTGTGATTAGCATTTAAAAAAGAATAGCTTATTAAGGAGCATCATAATTTATATTTGATAAATATAGGCAATATGCAGGCTAAAATATGTTTGGCTTTAATCTGTATAGCATGAAAAGAGGAACTCAATGTTGTAAATACTTTTTCCTTAACGAGTATAACATTTTTATTGATTTAATGTCTATGTCATTCTTGTGTAATTCTTATTGGCTTATGCTAGTATTAAATTCAAAAGAGGATGTAACTTATTTGTCTGCTCATATTGTTCTGCATCAAGAATTCAAGACACCCTCCATCTAGTGAAAAGGGAAGCCAGATGTCTGATGTTTTTTTTTTCTTTTTCTTTTTTTGTCTACTACAATAATGTTTGATATCATTTGGAGTTTTTACAGGGGAAACCCCACTTATTCATGCTGCCCGACAAGGACACACCGATACTGCAATATACCTTATTGAGAGTGGTGCTAATCCTGCGATAGCAAGTGACTTAGGGGCCACAGCTCTTCATCATTCTGCAGGCATTGGTAAATTTGTCTTTCAATCCTTCTTACTTCTCACACCCTTGCATTTGGTGGATGGTTGGCTTCTATTTATGAGCGTTTTGATTTTGGTATTTGAGCAATGATTCCATGTAAAAAAAGTATTTGATGAACGATAGAGTTTGCTTATGGAACCAAATTCTGCATCGTTTTACATCTAATTCTTAGGTCTGGGTATTATGAAGGAACTATTTTGTTTGATCGTTTAACATCTTTCATCTAGAGCATGTATGTGGCTTGGTTTCTTAAATAGTTACAAGTGTCTTTTTTATGATTTGAAATTCTTGCATGGCTTGCTTAGAGAGGGGTGAGACTTGAGAGTTAATGGTTTTGGTGGGAGGGGGAGGGGGAGTGTCTAACCAAACTAAATAATTTTGGGGTTTGCAAATATGCCTGTAATGCCTAGCATAGAATGAAATGGTAAGGATTAATTTTGTAGAACAATGTATAACTTCTACAAATTCTAATTTCTAATGCAGGAAATATTGAGCTGCTAAAGTTTTTACTTTCAAAAGATCCTGATGTTAATTCCCAGAGCGATGCGGGCACCCCTTTGATTTGGGCTGCCGGTCATGCCCAACAGGAAGCTTTAAAACTGCTCCTTGAACACCGTGCTAATGTATATAAGTTTACAATTTTAACTCCATTATGAGATTTCTTATTCTTAAAAATATAATTGATCGAAATATCTTGTGTACTTAAGGTGCTTATTTGATTGAGTTCTTTTTATAGGAAAGCTTCTCTTATGGAAATGTTGCGTATTGGGAATTCTTGTGTTTTAACTTTGGTATGATATACATAGAGCAACTCTTTTTGAGTTGGTAAATATTGTAGAATAGTCTCAAAATTTTAGTTAAGTGATCTGTATATCACTTGGTTTGCTCGCTTGGAGATGTGTGCTTCACTGCTTCTTCAAAAGGCAATGTTAATTGAAGATGATGATGAACCTGCAATTGATGGAGCTTTCAGGAAGTTTAGGGTTATCCTCATCAAGTCACCATGGTTGAGAGATGCAATTGATAAAAACTGTTATTTTTTTTGTTTAGAAAATAAATGTGGAGGTGTGGTGTTGTTTTCACTATTAGAACAAGGTTTTTAAAGTTGTATTCTTGCTTTAAGGTTTCTCTTTGAATTCATCACTATTTGGGGGGGAGTTCACTAATTATTTATAGCTGTAGAGAAGAGTGTAGTACATCATATAAAAATATCTAGAGATTTTTTTATAGGATTTTATTACTATTTTTTCATAGGAAGATCCAGAGATTTTTTAATGAGCATCTGCCTTTAATTGTGGATTAGCCCCGGCTACAAAACAATATAAACTATTACCTTCTAGTTTCAGCTTCTCTTTCATCTTTTTGTAGTCTGTCATGTCATAATTTTTTGATAACAAGTTTTACATCATATAGCGTGGATGATTTTTCTTCCTTTATATGTGTCCACTAATGCCATAAATTTATGTTTTCAGCCCAATGCTGAAACTGACGATGATATTACCCCCCTCTTGTCAGCAGTGGCTGCTGGTTCTCTGGCTTGCTTGGATTTGTTGATTCAGGTTTTGTTTCTATTGACCCTTGAAGGCCTTGCTTTATATTTTTTTTAGTTCTTCTTTCGTCATATGCTGATGCTATTTTTTAAGTTCTAATTACTTGAAGCTGAAATGTGTAAATGGATTTTTTGCTTCTTCTTCTTGAATAAGAAACATTTCGTTTAGAGAAGAGAATAATAGAAAAAGTGATGGAAGCACAAGGCATCAGAACCTGTGATTGACCTTTGTAGAGCACAAGAAAACTTTCCAGTTGGTATGAATCACTCACGATAAATAGTTGGAAAAATCAGCATCTAGTGTATACCATCTAGAGGCTAAGAATATAAAGTTTTCCTCAGCATCCTCTACATCCTTATAAGCTTGTAAGGAATCTTATTTCCTATTCACAGCAAATAGCTGAACAGTAGCTATCAGACAGTTAGTCCTCATAATAGCTTCATTTAAATTCTAATATGGAACGGGTGTTGTTGGTGGAGTGTACCATTTGAAATCTAAATATTTTGAGCATATAATTGTAAATGCTTTGTGAAAAAAGCAGCGAAAGAAGAATTGTATGTATGGTTTGAAAGTGTCCATTAGATCTTGTTTTACAAACTTGAGAAAATTAAGAATGAGCTGAGAACTTGGAAAAAGCAGTCTCTTTGGGGACTTAAAAGCTATTATGGAGAACACAGTACAATTGGGGATTGGGTTTAGGGAAAGGACCAAAGAAGTTTTATTACCTTTGCCTAATCTTCCTTTCTCCATTTTGTAAATTCTTTATGAGCGTTTCCTATCTAAAAGAAATCCCTATTTGTCTGGTGATGGAAAATGTACTTCAATTCTGTGCATTTGTTGAACAATTTTCATACTTTATGCTAGTTTTGGAATCAGCAAGTATGGGTGTGTGTACGTATGTCCATGTCTAGCAAACTTTTGATGTTTTTGTATCCTTCGCATTTAATCTACAGGCAGGTGCGAAAGTAAATGTTAGTGCTGGTGGAGCAACCCCTCTACACATTGCTGCTGATAGTGGAAACCTTGAAATTATAAATAGTTTGTTACAAGCTGGGGCCGATCCTAATGCCACTGATGAGGTAATGTCAACCTTATGTCCTTATCGTGGACTCTCTCTCTCTTCTTCCTGATCTAAGGTAGGTAGTGTACTCTCTATGCTATATGAGTCCGTGAACAAGTTCTATAGTGCCAATGCACGAGGAATTATTACTCTTTAAGAGAGAATGTCTTGTTCTTGACGTTTCTTTTGTTGATTCATGTGAGTTCAATGTATCATCTTTTTCTTCCTGTTCTTGTTCTTGTTTTCTTCTTTCTTTTTAGGAAAAAAACATTTCATTGAGTGAAAGTTTAAAAAATACAATAAAAACCTCAATTTTAGGTAATTCAAACTGTAGTATAACAGCCAAAAAAGAAAGGAAAAAAAAAGAAAAAAATCAATATATCATATCTTCTTACTCCAATCCATGAAACGAAACTTCTCATTGATATTTGAAAAGTTATTATAATAAATAAAAAGAAACTCTCCCCTACAACTATAAGAAATAGAAACAAATGGTTGCTTACTTCTAAGTATTTCAAGATCAAATCAACTCGTAACAGGCAAAGCTTATTTGAGGTGTCCGTAGTGGTGATATTATGCAACTTCGGTTGAAATTGAGATTAAAATCTTCCAGACTGTAGATACATCCCTTTTTTAATATTAAATTATTAAATCAATAAGTGCTCGTTGTTAAACTTCTTGTAGTGATTACGAATATGTGATCAGTTCTGGTCGAACTCTTGGGGGACTATAATGGTCTTACTCTATGTTATTAACTTGATTTCTGCTTTCATCATTATGGCTTCTTGCTCTTGAGGGCTCTTTGTTTTCCTATAAAGAACAAAAGAAAAAAAAAGGTTTTACCCAAATAAAAGAAAACCTCTTTCAAACTGAAATTTGTTATTGCTGCACTGTAGGATGGGGTAAAGCCAATACAGGTTGCAGCAGCTAGAGGTAGTCGGGAAGCTATTGAGATTCTGCTTCCCTTGACTTCAGAAGTTAAGGCAATTCCCAATTGGACCACTGATGGAGTACTCGAGTATATGCAGAATGAAACCAGCAAAGATCAGGTATGATCTTGTGATTCTATTTTGGCTTTAGAGGGTGTCTAATTAGTAGATAGGTTATCTGTGATACGTCCGTCTTTTTTCCATGAATAGGCTTAAAAAACACTTCATCTTCGTCATCAAATTATACAATAAATATTGGCCTCTGCTCAATTATGAAACCATCAGGTTGCAGTTTCTCTAGGACAGCCTCCTGCGTTTAATCCATCATCTTTTAGTTTGTTTGTTTGTTCTTTTTTTCTCTTTTGGATTTTGTTTTTGTTTTTGTTTTTTTTTGGGGCAATAACAAAAGAAAAAACTGACCTTTCGCTTGATCATTGATGATAACAGCAGATAAGTGCTAAAAAACTAATGACTGACATTTTTTATTTGGAAGTCTCCCGTGTCTGACACTTTTATGGCGATTGCACGTGCAGCTTCATTCCCCTATCTTCTTATCCATACCCAGGGGTAAATGATTTGTTTTAATTTAAGGAAATAACATTTTTTCTTAGAGGAACAAAATTGTTCAAAATTATGGGAAGAAGGTGTAAGACATCTACCAAAGATTAGCTAAATACGAAATGAGGTTACAAAAAAATGCATTTTGGATAGCTTATTGTTGGATCAGAGATTAGACTGGCCTTAAATTTTAGTAAAAGAAGACTGTACGGTAAAGATGCTTGAACTACAAAATGGTGAAAGAAGTGAAAACAATAATAAAAACATTGGTGCAAATAGGGGGAATGCGCTACTTTCACCTTCTAAGTTGGAATAGAGTAGCAGAGGATTTTATCAACTACTGTATATCAATGGCATTGTTTACATCTGCTTGTCGGTTCTTTCTTGTATCTCATAGCTGCTTGGTATCTTAACTTCAAGGGCCAAATTTTGTAGGTGGTTTCCAGAAATCTCGAGGAGGTTAACAAACATACAGACTCCACAGCACGAGAGCAAGATTTGCCTGAGGTGCATTTATCACCCTCTTGATCTGCTTTTTTGTTGGCTGTGCATCTGAAAGTACAAAGCTACCAACATGATAAATAAGTGATGATGATGAAAATTAAATGGATAATAAGATGGTAACTTACAATTTGTCAATGTCATTCAATATATTGGTTGGGAAGAGGAATTCAAAACATTACTTCAACTTGTCACGACTATGGACTAAGAGGGAATTAAGAATTAAAGTCTATCAAACCTTTCTTCAGATGAACAAAGGTCAGTTTGTGTATCGAGTTCTACTTTGTAGAATGCCAACCCAAGGTATTTACGTTATGGATTATTTACAATATGCATGTTGCAATAAGGATTTGGAATTTTAGTGTCAACAGGTTATTTACAAAATTTCTGATGTGGTTGTTTGAATTATATTCAAACTAGTCAAAACAGCTTAATAAATTTGTCCCCGGAAGTTTCATGAAGTAGTATACTCCTTTCCTGTCCCATAACAATCAATTTATTACCCAATCTTATTAATATATTTGTTTCAGTTCAGTCAGTGATTGCATCTTAACATTTTTTTCATGTTCTAGAAATCTTTTACTTGTTTATTCTTTTGAGTTCAACAAGATGTAGGGTGCAAATTTAAACTCCGACCTTCCATTTGTTGGAACTATCTCGTGGTTTAGAGACTTTGTATTTTATTCCATGGTAAATATACGGTGGGTCTATCATGGAAGGTCAAAGTTACTACAAGCTCATGAATGCAAACATCTTATCTAATAAATGCTTATGAAGCAAACAGAGACTAAAATATGTTTATTATAGTTATACAATTCTCTATTGCTACTGTTGCTTTTAAGTCTTAACACCAAATGGTACTTAACTACTAGGTGTCACCTGAAGCAAAGAAGAAAGCAGCAGAAGCAAAATCTAGAGGCGATGATGCTTTCAAAACAAAGGATTTTCATACAGCAGTCGATGCCTATACACAGGTAGATCCTTATCTGTTTTCTGTTTCTATTTTGGATGTTTCGCTTGTAAGATTGCAGGCATATGATAGAATCAATCGATTGCATAAGATATGCCAAAACCAGAACTCATACCATCTGCCCATTTTAAGAGATGTCTTGGTTGGTAGAGAGTACTTCTCTGTCCATGGTTAACGAGCGATGTAGTTTGCACAAGTATGTCATGAATTTTGTTATCTGATAAGAAAAAAGGAATCAGGAATTCTTGTGTGCTTCTATAACATTGTTTGTTTGTTTATTTTTTTCATTTTAAATGTAATTTTCGACTTACATTAAGGGGGAATAAAGTACAAAGAAAACTGTCCAAATAGACATTAACAAAATATATCAACTGGAAGAATTGAGGGAAACCCCAGAGACTGGCCTCATATAATGTGATGATTTTGTAGGCAATCGATCTGGATCCGTCTGATGCTACATTACTTTCCAACCGAAGTCTATGTTGGATACGGTTAGGTCAAGCTGAACAAGCCTTAGCAGATGCTAAGGCCTGCAGAGCATTGAGACCAGATTGGCCTAAAGCTTGCTATCGGGAAGGTGCAGCTTTGCGTTTATTGCAGGCAAGTCCTCAGTTTCACAGTGAATCATTTCATGGGCATTGTTAATACCGAGATGGTTTTCATGTTTAAATTTGAATTGGAAGACTTTTATCTTATCATGCCATTGAACTAATATAACTGCAGAGGTTTGAAGAAGCAGCAAATGCTTTCTACGAGGGTGTCCAGCTCAATCCTGAAAGCATGGAATTAGTCAGTGCCTTCAGGTTCTCATTTTTCACAAACCTTTTCTACCATGTGTGTTTTTGTTATTTCATCTCACAGGTTTGGATTTAGCTATTTATAATGAAAGTCATCGTCATAATCTAGTATAACCACAAAAATGGAAGACTTGATGATGATAGTAATGCTTCTGAGATTATATCCCTATGCTTCCTCCAATTTCTTCGAAGATGCTTTTATGGGTTTAAGGTTACTCTTCACAACCCATCACAAAATTTACATTTTATTATCCAGGGATAAGGGTCGGTTTTTGTGGTAGACGGGCTTCTTTGCTATATTTTGGGGTTTGTGGTATGAGAGGAACAACAGAATTTGAGAGATTTAGGGAGGAGGCATGCGCTCTTGATCGGTTTCATGTCTCACTTCGGGCTTTGGTGTTCAAAGTTTTTTGTAATTATTCATTAGGTTTGATTTTGCTTGATTGGAGCCTGTTCTTTTGGTTTGACTCCTTCGGTCAGTTTGTATGTCCTTTTGTAATCTTTCATTTTTCTGAACGGAAGTTCGACTTTTCATAAAGAAAAATATCAATTTTCTTTGCAGAGAAGCAGTCGAAGCGGGTAGAAAGTTCCATGGTAAAGATAAACAAAAATCATAATCCAGCATCTGTGGCTGATTCTAGAAATAGTCAGGTCTGGTGTTGATGAGGATCCTTTTTTGTGCTTCTGTTTTTGTTATATACAGTAATGATAGTGTTGATTTTGATAGAGAAGTTGAGTTGAGGTGTGGAATTCACAATGGGTAGACTCTCTATAGAATAACTTAAAATGACTTTTTATTTTTTATTATTCAATTTATTTGATAATGAGTCAATATTAATTTAATGTAGAAGTAATATCAATAATGTAGCTCCTAAGCTTTTGGTGTAGAACCGTTGGTGGTAACCAATTAAGTTGTGCAAAAATGAGCTGTTCTAGTTCTAGGATGATGATGTGGAGGGGACATGGGCAATTTAAAAGAAGAAGAATGGCTGGGTCATGAGATAGATGAAATTTAAATTAATACATAGTTTAAAGACGACTTAAGAAATCGCGTAATTCCTCTCTTATCTAATATGTACACTTCTTTTTTGCTTGAGAGTATTTACATAGGAAACATCGACCGATCGGCTACTAGTTTATGAAGTTTTGTCTTTGATTAAATTAATAAATAAAAAAGAGAGTTTGAAAGTCTTGGGTAATTTAACTAATCAAGACACTTATCTCTAATACGGTCAAACTTAGTTCGAACTCTTACTTTCACAGTTGTACTATAAACAAGGCACATATTTTTTATTCGATCATGAGTTCGAGCTCTCGGCGTATTTGAAAAAAGACAATATCACGGTAGCGAACTATGTGTGGTTGATCAGCAAAACTTTTTCGAGAGCAAATCCATTTTCTTCTTTTTATAATGTGAAACGATTTAGGAACGGCCACGGGACTGTAGACGGGAACACATCCCCTACAGATCCCACATTTTTTAAATCTCTCCCCAAATTCTCACATTCCTCGGAATCGGAACCCTTAATTTCATCAATGTCGTCCTCCTCGTCGGTGAAATTCTCCGTCGGTTACAGCACCTTGTCCTCTCCGCCCGCCGCCACGATCCCGGTCATTTCCGCCGAAGCTCCTCCATCTCTCTCCAGTTCCTCCTTCCTCGAACGCGCGAAGAACACCACCCAATCACTAATCGCCACTCAGCGGCCATGGCGCGAGCTCTTAGACTTCTCCGCCTTCTCTCTCCCGCTCGGCTATGACGACGCCATGGCCAGAATCCGCCAGAACGTGAACTACTTCCGTGTCAATTACGCCTTGGTGATGCTCATCATCGTTTTATTCAGCCTCTTCTGGCACCCGATTTCGATCATCGTGTTCTTGCTCGTCTTCGTCGGCTGGCTGTTCTTCTACTTCCTCCGCGACGACCCTCTCGTCCTCTTCAACCAGACGTTCGATGATAAAATTGTGTTGGGCGTTCTGAGTATTGTTACCATAATTGCTCTTGTGTCTACTGATGTGGGATCCAATGTGTTGGGAGCTTTGATAACGGGGGTCGTCGTGGTAGGATTGCACGCTGCGTTTCGGATTACGGCCGATCATTTTCTCGATGAGGAGACCGCCGCCGGAGGTGGGTTGCTGTCGGTGGTCGGGAATCAGCAGCCACAACGGGGTTACACCCGGATTTGATTCTTCAATTCTTCTGAGATTTGTGGCTATTTCGTTGGGTATATCTGGACAAGATTTGCGGCACTGTTGGCAATCGCCTCGAACTTCAAGTAAGAAGGTAGGATTCGGTTCCTTATTGCTTGTTTGCTTGCTCGGATTCATCGTCTCATTGGAATCTGATTTTTGGGTTTTGATTAAAGGTCTTGAAATTCATTTGTAGGGTTTATTTTTGAGTTTTTGGCTTGGATTGTCAGTGTTGTGGGGTAGAAATTAGAATTATGGTGGGATTAGAGCAGATGCTGGATTTGTTGCATCAAATTTTCTAGCTGATTTCATTTCTTTGGTTTGATTGGATTCTGGGATGCTTGATTTCTTGAATTTTGCCGTCTGTTCTTCTTCTTCTTCTTCTCTGATTTTGGAGGGCTTCTTTTATCATACTCGTGTTATGATCAAGAATGGCTTCAGTCCAAGTTTGCAAAAGAAACCATGAGTTTGCGATTGTTGTACAATCTGTGTGTGTTTTCGTGGCTTTAGGTTCTGATTTCCGTGGCTCGATTTGACAATATTCTGAATTCTGATGTGAGCTTTTGTTCATCTTGAACATCAATGTGACGTTTCGTAGGTTGATATTGAAAAGGAAAGATGAAAGATGGGAAGTCTAAGCATGTCAAATTTAGTTCCACTTTCTTATTTCTAGATTCTCGTTTCTTCTTTCTTAATAAAAACAAAATAACAATAGAAATGCATTTGGTTACTATTTCTCTTTTCTTTCTTCTCTTAAATTTTAAATTTAACAAATAAAAAGAATTTCAAATTATGTATTACTTTTTTTTACGATACATCTAAAATTCTTTTTAGGTTTGCCATGAATTTTATTAGTCAAAATTGAAAAAATGATGCTTTTGTTTGTATTTTTGAAATAACTAGAAAAATTTAGAAATAATTATTAATGCAAGAAAAGCTACCATTAATTATTAAATTAGTCTAAAATTTGAAATAATTATTAATGCAAGAATAACCAATGACATTAATAATTATTAAAAAGCATTAATTTTTTTTTATAATCTATTAACAAGCTGCCATCTTTCAAAAATATTTTTAGACTATTTTATTCTTTTGTCAAATTTCGAATTTATAAAACATATGCCATTAATAATTATTTCTAAATAGTAAATTAATGAATTAATTATTAACAATAATAAATACATGGGATGCAAAAAGGGGGTCTATGTGTTGTTTCATTTCACAAGAATTTAAAGATTTTCTCCTTTAATTTTAATAATTAAAATGAAGTTTATTTAATACTCTTGAAATCACAAATTTAAGTTTCAAAATAGTGCTTTCGATGAGCACAATAATACTAACCAACACTCAATCACAATTTTTAAAACAGAAGGAATAAATCAAAAAGTTGTATCCTTAAGCTTTTTTTTTTTTTTTTCTATCAG